TAATTTTTTAAACTGCAGAATGTATAGTGTCATATTTTCTGTATTCCTGTGGAAGTTGCCATTGAAATGGTCTTCAAACAATACACATATTTACTGGTATAGGTTATTTTTATTCTTTCATTACTCTTGTTATTTGAAGAATGTTTTCTAAACTTACAAAATCATTTCAGATTAGATAGGAAAAAAATGAAGCTCTTAATGAATAGAAACACCCATGTTCAATGTACATCAAAAACACAACGAGTGAGCTCATTTCTTCTAAATAGCATGTCTGAAGTGGAGGAAAGAGTTTTCAATGCATGACAAGCTTTCCATCTTGACATTGACATTCATGGAGTGCTCCTTGTTGCTCCCAAAGTGACCCATTACATTAGCACAAATAATATTTGGACATTCATGCAAAACAGGAAACTCCCCATGCCAAATGATGGAATTACTGCAGAATTCTAAATTTAATAGGTGGCCTGGTGATACAATGTTTGTGTCTGAACAGGTAGATGTATTGTTTGACATTTTCATTGAGACTGGTTTCGAAATATCACTGAATAAACGCATTAACCTCTAACGTATTTAGCTGTTTCGGCAACTCAGCCGAAACAGCTGTTGTTTTTCTTAATTTTTTTTTCTTTTTAGCTGTTTTGGCGATTTTAGTCGCTGAAACAGCTCTTGCTTTTGTTAAGATTTTTTTCTTGTTTGGTTTTTCTCAGTTTTGTGAAAAAGGCATTCTTTTGGTTCTTTTTCCTCCTTCTTCCTCTTCCTCTTCTGACCTAAAGCCCATTTGTTTTGTGCATGTTTCTTCCACCCTCAACTTTGGTCCTTTTGCAACTTCGGATCTTCATCAAACTTAAATCAATGAAGGACCTTAGTTAAAAGATGTACATAGAAAAATGATGACATGACGATGTTATCAAGTATTTTTTTATTGAAGTTTTAATATTTATTTCAGCCCATTGACTTTGTACACATTTTCAAGGCCCAATTTTGGATGTTTAGTGATCTTCATTCGTCCTCATAGTTGCACAAAGGAAGACCTGGAAGCAACGATAATACTAAAATAATGTTCTGTTTGCCTCAAATGCCAGAGTGACATTGGGTCTTCAATCCATTTCGTGTGGGTCAAATCATGTGACCCTTCCTTCGGTAAAAACCCGAAGTGGGCTTGTTGTTTAAAAGTGGTAATACAGTAGATTCCTGTTATAGTGCTCTCTGATAAATGCTCTTTCTGATATAACACTCTATTTTCATTTCCCCAACTGCAAGCCCATTCACTGTGTACAGTTTTATGTGGTTCTAGTGCTCCCATTTACAATGCTTTTCTGTATAACAGGTTTTGCCCTTACCCAACGTATATTAATAAGCACTGTATGCTCAGTGCTTGTCCGAGAGCTTGCGAAAAAACCTNAGTGCAGATGCCGAGTGGTAAGACTGCAGATGACCGCTTGAGCAGGGGCACCAACCAGGATCTGGCCTAGTCCCCCTACATCGCTCAGTCAATCATGGTCAATCATGCCAATTATGCCATTTTCCACCTCAGATACTATTGATTTTTGCATTTGTATCAAATGCATTCGCCATAGATATCGCTGATCAAATCCAACATAAGGCTATATATTTGTCGTTTTGAAGTTATACTTTCACAAATTTAATCGGAAAGTTAGAAATTCATATCAGTTGCAAAGAAAAAATGAAAAATAATAATTCGGAGATGATGATACCCAATACATTCTTAGCTCAAATCAGCAATCACTGAGTAGCCATCTTCAAATTGCACGGGCACAAAACAATTTGAGGCACATGCACACAAACTAAATGTCCCCCTGAAACAAACGTAAGGTCACTGGGCCAATACATGACTGCCGCATTTCAAATTTAGGTTACTACTGTTAATAGTCAGCCTGTATTCATGTATATTTAACAATTGTTGACTGCTGTGATGTGGGATGTGACCTTTTGAATACCCAAGGGCACTATTTGTGCCCAAGGGTGTTCAAAATGTCATATCCCACATCACAGCAGTCAACAATTGTTTTGTCATACCTCTGTCTTCTGACTTCTTATCCTTTTATTCTCTATATTCTGTGGCCAGTCACTAGCTCTGTGACCAGAATTGCCTTATGGTAACAGCTGTTGAAGGAAGAACTTTTATGCCTCATACCACACCCATGTTGAGTACGTTGTTACCCCCATTTTCACTAAGGATATGAGGCTGAAAAGGATAAGGCACAGGACAAGGTGGTTTGTATCATGATCAATTTTCCCTTTACAGAAGGCACTGGCTTCAACTCAGAGACTGCACAGCTGTATCTGATAAAATCATACCTCATGGAAATTGAATATTACCCCAATTTACAATTTATTTGTTCTTCCAAATCTGTTCACTTTAAAGAGGCAAATGAAAAGAGGTTAAAGTGAAACTTTATGACTCATAGACTACAGCTCCCCTTCTTCTTTGGTCTTCCTGTCTCACTGCACCCCTTCACTAATTCTAGTGTTCGTCAACACCAGTTTTGTACTATCCACTGAACAGTTACCGACATCTGTTATTGTGTAGTTTGAAATAGTTTGGTTTAGGAGATAGGCAGGTTCAGCAGTGGTGGTTGTAACAAAAGGACATACAGTGTGTTGTGTGAAAGAGCTCCATCTGGACGTTGTTGTTGAACTTGATTTTTTCCAACCTTTTGGTTGTTCATGAGTTTTTGCACAACTTCAGTGATAGAATGGGTCTTACATACATTCACAGAGATACTACCTTTAACACCAGTGATCATTGGGGAAGCATTCGCCACATGCTGCGAGACTGCCCAACATGTGTGAGCCAAACAAGCAAATTATCAAAAGAGCACAGACTAACAAGTTCTTGGCATGATGGCCATTTCATGCCAGTAACTCACTGGGTGTTACCACACTTGTGGTGTGTACTGGTGTACTGATATCCTGACATGGTTAGGAGGGAGGTGTATGCTGTGGCCTCAGCTTTGTCTCATACTGAGATGTGATCAACCTTTGTGGTTGTCATCTTAGTTGGACTTGAGTAAAAATTAATACCGACTGTGACATATTTAAGCATTGAGACCTCATTGGATTGGTAAACATGTTACATGTAGGTGACCAGGCAGCTGTCTTAATTGGAGCATAGAGCAAGGACCCATGGTTGGAGTACAGGTATTGATTTGGGAAGATAAGTTTATTCTTGGATTTGGTTAGTCCAGTGATAAGAAAGTGGGGGTGAGAAAGTGTTTTTTCAATTATAATTTGTATGGACAAAAAGGATGATTGTTAGATATTGCTTCTTAAAACAACTTTTAAGCTTCTCATTGTATGTAATACAGCCTCAACAACTGTCTTCACATAGGCCCCCCTTTTAATGTTAGTCAGATGACTTCCTTCAGTTCCCCTTTTCTTGCTTATTTATAGAAAAACTATCCATAGTTGCTTCAATTGAGTTTAACAACAGGAGTTAATTCATTTTGCTCAGGGGAAGTCTTTCTAATTTGGATTTATAGTGTAGTGCATGTGATTTCAAGTAAATGACCTCAAAGTGTTAAAGGTAGAACATTACGATCCTCTGGCCTAATACTTCATTGCAGTTGTCTCCCTTTAATTTATGTACAGTCATCGTCTTTCATAATTCCATTAGAGACATTGATGGTATGCAAATTTTGTCAGTAGGAATGCCAAGAAACAGTCAGTCTTTAAAGAGAACCTGCGAATTCCTTTTATTTTTTGCATTACTTTGTTATAAATTACCTTTTATTGTGGACCCCAGAAATTTTAACTTTAATTTAACTTTTTAGAGACAGGGTTAACCTACTCTTCTGTTTTTGCTGTGTTCTGTTTGTTTGTAGCTCCTCTCTGGTAACATTACTAAAATTATTCCTAGAGTGGACATGTATGTTTCTGCAAAATACCACAAGTGAGTTTGGGGGATCAGGTGAAACCTTTTTGGCATAAAACTGCATGAAACAATTTATGCTCAAAACTTAATTTAAATTCCCTTTTGATTTTCAGAGGTTTAGGTAGTAAAATGTTAGACTGTATGGTTGAAACATGGTGTTGGTTCTAGGTGCAGTAATCTAGCATGGAAACCTAATATTTATTGGTTTGTGTTCTCTGCGGAATTTGTCTGTGGTATCGATGGGTCAAGGGTGTTTCTTGAATGGGTCATTAGGGTGTCTGGGAATTTCAATGACTTGTATTCTGTTGAGAACACTTTTAGGCTTTTTCAGAATCTTTTCATTGTATGCTAGGGTAGTGCATATGTAATTACAGATTCCCTTTTGTGACAAAGATGTGTAAATATAATAATTTTATTTATGATAAAGAAGCTATCTCTGTCACAAAGAGTCACATTTTATTCAAAAAATTCAACTAATAAATAATTAATTTAAAAAGTGCTTGAAACGATGAATGCCAGACAGGTTTTAAACAAATCCAACTAATCAGTAGATCCGATTTCAGCCAGTAGCCTGTTATGTGGGATAAAATAATGTAAATTATTGATCACCATGGTAAATATCTTTGGCAAATAGCTACAGTAAACATACCCCCACTGGAGTTTATTATTTTCAAAGTGACTGTAGTTGATTGGGCATGTGGCAGCCCATTGAGGTGATAGTGCAAACCATTCAATTCTTTTGGGATTTTTCTCGAGAAAGTGCAACTTTCTTAATCATTTAATGCAAGCAAAAATAGTTTCATGTCCATCATGATGCAGTCTTTCCACGAATAAAGGAATCAAGTAAGGTATTTCAGTTAAATTTCTAATCATTTGAAAGCACTAAGGATCATTCAAATCAAATGAAGTTTAATGAAACAAACATTCAAATCAATAGAAGTTACTGCAATGGGTGCAGTTTTACAAAGTGTGCATCTTTAAAGAAAAAATGCAAAAACGTCAACTGAGACATCTTATGTGTTCTATTAATAGTATAACATTTTGGAGAAACTTCAAAAGATATGGAAATTATTTGTTTCAATTTTTGTTGTCTTTACCTTTGCAGGCCAAATACTCCAAGGACAGTCTGATGGCTCAGATCTCCTGGGATCCCCAACCAGTGTAGATTCCATGACCAGGGAAAAGTTGAGTGTTCCTCCATCTTCAGAATTATCTTAGTTTATCAGGCATCTTGGATAAAGATACCAAAACCAAGGCATGGACTTGCTATGAGGTCTGAGACTGTGTCTTGTGTTAACTCTACGGTGGGGAAGATTTTGGCTCATTGTTCAACACCCAGAGGCATGTTTTAGGCAAAGTATAATACAAAATTTATAAACTCCTCTTTTCATTTAAACTTACTGTAAGGTGCTTCAACGACTATTAAAATCATCATGAAAGAACCAACATGTAACTTAATCATACACATAAATGTAAAGCATTCCACTAAAAAGGAATAAAGATTGTCGAGAGTGATTGCTTTAGGGAATAGCACACACTTGCTTTTGTGAGTTTAATTAGTATCGGGGTCCATCACAAGACATATATTGTGTTATGTTGCTTTGAACAATCTTGCTTATACTACTACTGTTACAATCTAAAAAGCTGATGTGTTAGCATTTACACATCTGGCAATAGAGAATAGGATAATATGGTTTTTGTATTACACTAACTCACGCTGGCTATAAGCTAATCTGATTTGATGCAATAACTGTGGTGACACTGCTCTCAAACACACTCTTCAGCTTGATGCATGCGTGCATTTGGTGGTAAATCACAGCGACACCCTGTTGGTCGAAGAGGCATATAACATGCACATAATGGCTTCTAATTGCGGTTGTGAAATTACGTTATACTTGCAGAATATCGTTTAAGTGAGAAGACGTGTGCTTATAAGAACATAGGGTCTAGTGGGCCAAATGTGAACTTCAGAGAAATTCACAGTACATAAATGTTTGTCCATTCCAGTTGGAGTATTTCTAGCTTTTTTAATCCTGGGAATGGGATAGGGGTAAAATATACTAAGTCAAGTTCCATTTATTTGTTAATATTTTGTGTGTAGTCATTGTTAATATACAGAAAATGAATGTTTAAGCTTATAAATGCAATGATAAAAATAATTTTATGAGATGACAGATGAAATTTTCCATTCCACATGGCAAAGCCCTTTGGAATGAAACATTTTATTTGTAACTTCTTTAAATTGTTCTTAACATTACACGGGTGTCAAATATTTTAATTATTTGTTTTATTAATACCTACACAAGTCCTCCTCTGTAACTGTGGTCATCGTGTATTTACATCTGCCATTTTGTGAAGCAGATTTGCATCCGATACACCACCTATTGGTAGTACCATGCAGTGTTAGACTGGTTCCTGACCCTACAGTATTTTTCTTTTTCTTACTGGGAATGAAATAGTGAAGTTCTATTCAACATGTACCATTGAATAGAAAAAATATTTCATTGACATGTGATTAACAATCCACCAATTAGATGACGGAGATTCATACAGGTATTGTATAAAACAGACCATGAGAGATTGACCTCAACTCATTTTGGAGCCTTACTCATCATTCATTCTAAATGAATGAATGAGTGAACCAGTGAAGTCAGTGGATGCCTTTTATTTGAAAGGCAATGTTTACACGCCAAGTATTGAATTCAGTACATGAAAATGATCCTGCTTATCAAGTTGAACATATTCATTTGCATTTAAGAAAGGTTATTAAACAGAACTTACATGTACATGCTCCTCCCAATCAGATAAAAAGTTTTTTTTCTGATGCCTCATGATGCTAGTGTGTTGTACATAAATTTATACAGAGGTAGAACATTACAAACAAGAACGCAAAGGTCAGTTTTATGTTAAACCTAATAAAATTTGTCTAAATTCTCTCAAGTCTTAATATGTAATTCAGCCCTTGAAATATACAAATTTTCAGATAGAAAAACCTGAATAACCATGGTGTTTTGTGTGTGTACATGTACTTGCATTTTATTATATTGTAAGCACTCCACCCCACATGAAGTACAAAGGTAAATCTAATACAGGGCTAAATGTGTCAAAAGTAATTTTACTGTTTGCAAAGCCCTTTAAATAAACATTTGGAAAGTCGGGTTTTAAAATTAAGATGTTTTTGTCGTAATATGCTGTGTGATTTTTAAACTTGTAAGAACCCATTTTGTACATGCATGTCAATATTTAATACATCTACATATGGCCACGGTAAGCTAGTGATTGGCATGTAGGTCACGATACCTGAGGGAATGTAACTTTTCCTGCTGAAGTAAGTGCTTTCTCTTTATCTTCCATGCCTCCTGGTAGGTTTATTTCCATTCGGTTTAATAATGTGTCCTGATATTTGTATGTAGTTACTCTGGATGAATTTAATGTTCCTTGAATATCAGTCTTGCCATGTACACCGTGATTCATTTCCTGCAATAGAAGCAACGCTTTCTAGCTAAAAGTGTAGGCCGTCTGTGTGCACACTTTTCACACACGATTCCTTCTAGCAAACAGCCCCACAGTGCGGTTTGCCATTCTGACAGAAACGATGATCATTGGCAGCACTGCGCAAAGGAAATTGCTTCCCTCGCTGCTCCTAACTGTATTGAATCATTTACTGGACCCTAGACCACGCCCCTACCCACCCCCACCCCTACCCACCCCCACCCCAAACGAAAAGGTTGCGAGAGAGACATTTCATGTTGGTTGGTGCATTTCTTACTGGAACAATTAAAACTAAACCGATGCAGGTTTTGCTCGTAAACGTCATTTGTGGGCAGTCATCTGCAACATTTTTATCTCCTGTGAATTCACCAAGTCCTGGCAACCCCAAAACGTTTGTAATCAACTAATACTAAGCGGGCCGCCAAAGGTTGCAGTGCCATGTAGGTTATTGCGTTTGATGCCAACCTCGTGAACTACACTGAGGTGATGTTATCAGCTAGAAGTTGTCTGAATTTTCTTCTTTTCTTTCAGGTCATAAAAGAGATATAATTTCCCCGAGTCTTTTATATACCCTGCTTTTCGTGTGGAATTTTGTGTTTTAAGATATATCCTGCATGATCGCATTTCACACTAAATCTTCAGTTAATTCTTCAGAATCGGCTTGTCAAGTGACGAGGGCTACATGCATTTGCGAATGTGGTGTGTTTCTGTGGTTTCCATGTCAAAATGGAAAGAAAATGGAATGCCATTTGTCCTATGCTTCTTCCTCCAATTAACGCTACCAATTGTGCCATTGCTTGAAAGGGTTCTATGTTTTGTTAAAATGTAGTTCAGTTGGATTCGAATTGATACTGCATAACGAACAGATCAAATCGGATTTATCAACTTACCCATTTCAACTTTGTTTTCGACTCACTAGCTATTTGCAGTAATATGTTATTGAGTCTTTATGTCAAACATTTAGCCGTTGTTTGCCCCACTCACTGTAATTAACACCTCCACCCAGTTGACACCCCTTATTTTTTCAGTCATCGTTATAATCTTTCGGGAAGGGCGTTCACTATTTAATTCCCCCCTTTCATTTTTTTTGACCGATAGCTTTCCAAACCAAAAACATGAGAACAATAGAATTATGAAGGGTTCCCCGATGTGATTTTTTGTCATAGTTGCAAGGGTGTGGGTATAAAAGTGGATGTGTTAAAATATTGTTCCGGTTTAGATTCCGAACTTCGATCTGAATTTTCTGTCCATATTCAACAAAATTATCTGTTCATCTTCCATTCACGTTACGCCTCTGACACGCCAGCCTCGACCGAGGCTGCCTACTTGTTTTCTTACGGCGGCGCGAGCGACAGGTCCCTTCTGTCGCCGACGTCCTCAAACTTCTGTAAACCAGCCGTTACATGCTAATATAATTTACAGGCTACCAAATGTCATCTGAGCTAACGTGCCTATCTGATCGATCGACCGTCCGACCGACCGACCATACGGCAAATCATGTGCATAAGCTAGGCCTATTCAGTGAAAACGAGAGTAATTTTGCGGCTGGGGCCGCTGGGATCGTTCGCTTTGTCGGAGAACAAGACTAATTTGGTCAAGGCTAGTACACTGGCTGATCTTCTCCTTAATACGGTAAGTTATAAAACGTTCTAAATTTGCAGGCATACAAGAAAAGGCCAACTGTAAAATAGAGATGCAGCTGTACATGTAGTTTGTACAGTGAAAGTTGGTGATCTAAACAGTGCATGTAGTCAGGTCGCAGCGAAGGCCGCTTATCGCGAGTGGCATGATTGGTCAAGAAGTATTAGTCAACGACCTTCACGTGACTGCGACGTCACACGTTGCAGGCCTTGTCAGATCCAGGTTTTTCGGAGCTTCCCGTTTAATTAGCCTTGCCAGTTGGTACGTCGTGAAAACCTGGTACGTGCAGAGCCGACCCAATCCGTCCGCAAAGGAGCCACTATCTGGTATCTGACTGGGATTTTAGCGTGCAGCTTTGAGCGATCAGCCCTATTCATGGGTTGGTAACACCCGGATTATTATACTTGTTTCGGGGAATACTATTCTTACCTTGCGACGAATTCACAGTATCTCTACGAACTTCTTGATAGCATTTGGGTTTTCCTTGATGCGAAACTGAAAAGGTAAGTTGAATATTAAACAAATCAGGCAGTTTGCTCATGTGTTTCATTTTCGAGATTCATACCTTCACCAGACATGCCAGAAATTCATGTTTCTTGTTTACTTGACAATCTTCAGTTTAATTGACAAACTTGAAAGAAACACAGCACCTTCTAGTTATGAAACGTGATAAATCTATTCCGCACGGATGCCACATTCATTTTCCTGAGCATTGATTTGCCTTGTCCGATTCCGATTCGTCGTAACATCCGTCAAAATCAACAAAGCACCAGTTATGAAAGGGACAAATTCTTCAACCATTGCAAGAGTAAGCGCCAAATAACTTAAGCAACAATTTGAAAACAGATAAAAATTTTGCAGTTATCGCAAGATGAAATGAACAGTTCGAGCGACTTTTGGAACGTCACGAGTGCCCTTCCCTAACCATGGGCACTATATTGGTTAGTGGAATTTTGCTGGTCCAGTAATAAGTCCTGCATTGTGCATAAATCGCAGTAACGTAACCGTTGTGCTGTTAACCCAGTCGGCAAGCTTTTGTTTTCGATACATACGAAGTTATTACTTCTTTCGGACTATGTGTTTGTGTCCGGTCTCCGGAATTTGCGTCTCCACGGCCACACTCTTGACCGCACTGTGGGAATGTTATTCTCGCTTAAAACGCAACAGGGGGAATAGTCTACTTTCAACTTTGCCAAACCATGGTCCAAGCAACTGAGCTGAGGCACTCAAGGTTTTCAGAGCCACGTGTAGCTTGCCTTTTGAACCTCAGCGAAACACGTTTTCATTTTCTCTTAGTATACATTATTACATGTACTTTTTCCATGATCCTTGGAAGGCCAATACATTTTATATCTCGGTGGTGTTGACATTGTATTCAGTGATGACATTAAATCACAAGCTATACAAGGTTATTCATTAGTATTCTCTACAACTTTAACAAGTGAAGCAACCAAAACGAGGGGTGGAATTTTTTTTTGGGGGGGGGACATTAACGGGGATTAAAATTATAATTCTTTCTTTTTTCTCCTTCAAAATGACTCGCATTCCAAAGGACATAGTTTCGTAGACGGTTATTTGACCGTTCAAAATATTCTGAACGAATTAATGCTGAAAAAAGGAAAGTTATTTGTGTGACTGGAGAAACGAAGTCAAATGCAATCGAATGATCCAGGCTCCCTCTTTGTTTATTGTTCTATTTTTATTTGTACATTTTATACAAACACGAATCTATCAGGTAAGTTTTTCTTTGGGCTACAGTTTTAATTTCTTAGAACACTATTTCTTGTAACCAAGTGGAGCCCCAGCATGCAACCTTCGCCTCCAAACTGAGAGTGACTGCCAAATCATGTCAAATAGAGTTCTTGGGGGAGGTTCAACAGAGGATGATTTCGAGGTGATGAAAGTGTTGTTTTCACGCAGTTGCAAGCGCGGTTCTGGAGCCAAGTTTTTAGGGAGCTAGACCCTACGTACATGTACGTGACGTCACCTGTTAACTTTTGCTACTGCTCGGTTAGTTTTGTTTTGTTTTTGTTTTTTTATTTATTTTTATTTCATGGCGGGGGGGTCCAGACAAAGGCTAGGGACTGGATCCCCCAATCTCCTTTAGAACCGTGCCGTCGCAGTTGCTCCAACCGTCAATTTAGAGAGGTGGTAATAGAGGTTGTTTCCAGAATCTATGGGGGTTCTAGCAAAGAATGGTAATATGCAGTACTCACGACTACATTCGTGATGATGGTTGTGATGGTTGCGATTAGCAATATGTAAAACCAGTCATTAAAAATACACTTTTGTCACAAAAATCAAAACGCGCAAAACGGAGGTTTTACAAATCAAGTTTTAACGGTATACGGCAATGCATATTCTCAGGTTCAATTTCCACTCCATGTTGTCACTCCAGCCAATAACATGTATGAGAAGTCGGTGACCCCGTGGGTGCTTGTCCCAAATCTTTGACTGAAAGACAGCTTAAGCAAAAGGCGACTGAGACTGAGTGCTTGGTTTAAAATGGGCAAGACCGCGGCTCTTAGCTGTGGAGAAAAATGCACCCTCATGTTTCTGTCGACCCTATTTTGTATATTCAAATTTGTTTGGTTTCGTTTTAATGAACAAGAATCAAAGCCCAATTTGCATAGATTTGTGAAACAACTGCAAGTTCTGATAATTTACTGTCCTGAATTTCCTTTCCTCTGGTGATTCATCGTTGAGTACACGACAAATATAATCCCACTAGCAACCCTTGACAGAATTTTTTTCAGTGAGCACAGGCGGGTTCACAGTTTAAACTTACATACTGAGCAGTTTCTTAACTCCTTGATATCACAGCAACAGCACCCTCTGTTGTCTGCAAAAGTGTGGAAAATTTCAAATGTTCAAAGAAGCGGGCCTTTCAATATACCGAACCACACTGAAGTTGAAGAGGAGTCTAAAATTGCACAAACAGCATGTCTAAGAAAAATTAGCCCGCTTAAGCTTTCATATACGGCCGGACGTTAAGTCCGGCCGTATATGAAATTGTGTGTGAGTAGGATCCCGGATATTTTCCGTCCTTTTTAGTCAAAACGCATGTGTGATTCGGTTCCTTCCTCTCATTGGATTATTAACAACTATAAAAATGAGAAAAGAAAATTTCGTGATTTTGCTACAGGCATGTACCACTTCTTCATAAGGGTCGCTGGTCTATGAAAAAAAATGCACTCTAAGGGGAACCCACTGGTTGGACCCCTGTCAAGCACGTTTGATTTTGACTACCGCCAAGTTAGTTATATTTCCTTTATCTTCAAATATTATCGAGTGCCAGGCATGGACACCGGGTCG